ATATTAAAGAACAAAAGGTATAAGAGTATAATAATGATTCTAACATAACACTAAGCCAAACACCAAAGAAACAACTACATGTGTATGTACAACCATACACACATACATATACAGTGGTGTGAAAAAGTGTTGGCCCCCTTCCTGATTTCTTATTTTTTTGCATGTTTGTCATACTAATATACTTAATTTATACTTTAACACGTCTTACTCTGAGTCAGATATGATACATTGGGCTTTTGAGGAACATTTATTTATTTGTTTCTCATTTATTGTATTGCATTAAATTATATAAAAGCTAATCATAAAACTAAGCCCATAAAACTTAAATATCATCTTACTAAGACATAAGTGGGAGTTACCTTTTGTACCAAATTGCATATTTTTGCTCAGTTTGGGCCTATAAATAAAACGTTTTTTCTTCCTAAAACTTTAGCTCCATGTTTTCATTGTATCATATTATACAGGCCATAAAAACCTGATGTATCAAACAGGATACAAAACATAAAACTCATGCAAATAATTTTTCTTTTTTTTTCTTTTTTTTTATGTCAGCTTTTACAGGGTTAATCTGTGACTGTTTGTGACAGGAAATTATGTTTGTTTGCTCTTTAGCAATATTATTTGTTTCTTATTTCCCTCCTCTCCTCAGGTGAGTCGATGGAGATGGAGGAGCGTGTGAGTGAGCGACAGGCTGAAGTGCTGGCAGAGTTTGAGCGTAGAAAGCGAGCGAGACAAATCACGGTCTCTACTGATGATGTAGAGGTCAAGGCCTGCCTCCGAGCTCTTGGCGAGCCAATCACGCTGTTTGGGGAGGGGCCTGCAGAGAGACGAGAGAGGTGGGTGGGCAGATTTTTGTGACTATTGGTAAGCTTTGCAGCATATTCTGGACAAGAATATTTTTTGTATAAACCTTGAAACATTTTTTGCAGCATTATAAATATATATAGATATGACTCAGTTTTGATCAATTTAATTAATCCTTGCTCAATAATAAGTATTAATTTCTAAAACAAATACCAAACCATTGAAAGGTGGTGTACTTCTGCACATTGTGTTTGACATTACATAAACACCATATCTCAAATGACAGAATAAAACTAAATAATATATATCCAGTTTTAGTGGTTTCTGACTTTTTCCCTCACAGATTGAGGAACATTCTTTCAGTAGTTGGTCCCGATGCCTTGAAGAAATCAAAGAAAGAGGATGAAAAAGCAAAACGGACTCAAGATGAGGTAAGAACACCTGTTGTATCCTTATAGTTACAGTAGACTGTCATAGATTTGAATGACTAATGGAAGGTGATTGTCTGCATGTTTTCTGTGCAGTATCAGCAGACATGGTACCATGAAGGACCTTCATCTCTAAAAGAGGCGCGTATTTGGTTAGCCAAGTATTCCCTACCCAGGTAAACAGAGGACAGATATTATTTTCCTGTATCTAACAATCTAAATATAAAATGCAGCAAAATGTATGTATTGTATATTTTAAAAGCTAGTTTTGTGTTTTTGTTTGGTTCTCCAGAGCAGTGGAAAGGTTAGATGCTGCAAGGGCACAAAAAGAGATTCCAGAGTCTACGAGAACAGTTAAACAGCAAGAGCTTCACAAGACCCTACGGGTATGCCAAGAAAGTGGAAAAAGACACAGGCTTATGATGTGTTGTAATTTTCTTTCACTTTTAATGCTGTAAGTAATTATTATTGTGTTTTATTTAGAATGTGAATAACTTCTGCAGCCAAATTGGTGATGACCGTCCAATATCTCACTGCCAGTTTAGCCCCAACTCTGAGTTGCTTGTGACTGCATCGTGGTATGTTTTTTTTTATATTTAATTGTGTTATTTATTCATTAATTTTATATACGTCTTAAGAAGGTTATTTATATATGCTTTGTATGCCAGTGGGAATCATCAATTTTAGATTTCCAAACATAGCTTTCACAAATATTGTAACAATCCAGTGAGATTTCTGTATGAACAATGATTCCTACAACAGAAGGTATGGCCCGCACACACGTGAGCACTTTATAATTGAGACAGCCTTAATTAAATTACATGACGAGACAGAAGCAACTCAGAAATACATAGAAGAACTGTGGCTACTTCTCCAAGATGCTTAGAACAATCTACCTTTACCTAGGCACTTCCTGCAAAGTGAGGATGCTTTCAAAAGTAATATGCTTATCAGGAAACTTACATTAACTAATAAAATAAATATTTGGAGGGACCATTTTGCCTGTAAAATAGAAGTGATTTTCCTGATCCAGTTTAAGTTTTTTTTAATTTTAATTTTTATTTTTTTTATTTGCAGGCTGGTTGTTGGCCTTAATGTCTGTTGTAGGACTTGTTTGAACAAAAAAGTCTCTGGATTAATAAATTATTTACCAAAAAGATGTTTGGAAACAAAAAAATAATTTCTAAATAATATTTAAAAATGTTTGAGCATAGATTAAGAAGCATGTTTTAAAAGGCTTGTTATATTTGGTGTAAAAATATGTGTAAAATATTACTTTGTTGTAGGAGCGCTCACTCAGGGACTTTAGTAAGATTGTATCAGAAAAAGATTTTAGAATTTTTTTTTATCATATGTTAATTAAAAAAAATCTTGTATAATTTTAACTGCTGAATGTTTTTTGTTTGCTTGGTTTTTATTTTGTTTATGTAACTCTTGTATTAAGCCAGCATAGTTTTTGCCATGCAGATAGCCTTAGATGCTGACATGGAAATTAAAATAAATAACTACTACTATTACTGCTTTGTTGTAGGAGTGGCTTGTGTAAATTGTGGAAAGTCCCAGATTGTACACTTATACGCACATTAAGAGGTAAATATAACAAATATGTTCTGTAATGTTTATTCTTGAAGTTTTTTTGTTTTTTTTTTTTCATTCCTGTTTACAATACAACTTTTACCACTGAAGGTGAACTCTTCTTTCTCAGGTCACAATACCAACGTGGGAGCGATTAGCTTTCACCCTCAAGCCACACTCACACTTGAGGAGTCAGATGTCAATATGGCCTCCTGTGCTGTGGATGGATCTGTTAAGCTGTGGAGTTTAGACAGGTGTATATTATTAGTATTCATTAAAATTTCGGTCTCAATTTCTGAAGTAAAACATTGTAACATTTCCCTGTTCTTATCTGTAGTGATGAGCCTGTAGCAGACATTGAGGGGCACTCAATGAGGGTGGCTCGGGTGGCCTGGCATCCCTCTGGGCGGTTCCTAGGAACAACTTGGTATGAATGTTTTTTCTGTTTTATACATTTTTTTTAGAAGTAAATGCAAAACAATGGTATAAAGATTGGTGTTGGGATAAAACTTTTCTGTCATATATTTAACGGAGTTGTCTTTTCTTTTCTTTTTTTGCTCTTTAGCTATGATAACTCATGGCGACTTTGGGATCTTGAAGCCCAAGAAGAAATTCTGCATCAGGAGGGTCATAGTAAAGGTGTCCATGACCTGCACTTCCACCCAGATGGCTCTCTGGCAGGAACTGGGTAAGGGCCTCGCACTGAACCCAGAGGCACTCCACTTTTTTTGTAAAGGAACAAGCACAACACTCAAGTCTATACAGTTACTTTGATGCTCTTAGGAGTCCCAAGTATGTTTAGTGTAAGACCAGCCAAATAAAAAATTATCTTTAATCCATCATACATGGTTCCTAATCTTAACCCGGATTCCTCTGATTGCAGCATTGGTCCTGCAATATTCGCATTACCAGAGAACCACTTAGTCTTCCACTTTATTTTGTGATTGTTCATTCAATCTGCTGTTGATTGGTTGAATTATATTTTTATATAATTTTATTTGAATTATATTATATTTTTGATTAGTTGTTTGAAATGATTTATATTTGGCTTATTAAGCTTTCAGTTGTTGTGTTAATGTTATTCATACAGTGGTTTGGATGCATTTGCTCGTGTCTGGGACCTGCGGACTGGTCGTTGTATCATGTTCCTGGAAGGCCACCACAACGAGATTTATAGCATCAATTTCTCACCAAACGGGTAAGTAAAAGAAAGGGCATATGAATATTGAAAATATTTAGTAAGGCTGTTTACTGGTATTTGAGCTTTATTTGATAATTAACCCCTAAATCTTCCTTGTGCAGCTTTCACGTGGCAACAGGAAGTGGAGATAACACCTGTAAAGTGTGGGACCTTCGTCATAGAAGGTGTATGTACACAATTCCTGCCCATGAGAACCTTGTGTCTTCAGTCAAGTTCCAACGTAAGTAGTCAAGAGTCAAGTCAAGCGGACATTTATTATCAGTCATTGAGAGATTATTCATTCAAACATAGAAATACTAATCCTTTACTCACCCCTGTTCTCAGCAACCTCAGTAAGTTCCCAAAATAAAAAAGCACTGTGGACATTCAGCAAAATATGTGTGTTCCACAAAAGAAAAAGTCACATGGGTTTAGGGTGAACAAATATTTTATAGGATTTTCGTAGATCCATAGGTCTACTGACTGTCAAAGTGAATGAGTCATTCACCGCAACTGAACTTGCAAATTTGTGTTACATTTTTGCAGTGTCAATATTAACAGAGTCTCTTCCTTTTAGCTAACGATGGGCATTTTTTGCTGACTGGTGCATATGACAACACAGCCAAAGTGTGGACCCATCCTGGCTGGTCACCTCTGAAGACTCTGGCGGGTCATGAAGGGAAGGTCATGGGGCTTGACCTTTCACCTGATGGACAGCTCATTGCCACCTGCTCTTATGACCGAACCTTCAAACTCTGGATGGCGGAATGAGATTCTGTTTGTCTTGATGCATTTTCATTTTTAGTTTTTGTCCTACTGTCTTATATTTTTTTAAGTTTAGTTTTAAAGAGCTGTAAAACAACAAAGGAGATCTTTAAATTAGAAGCTGATTGACAGTTTGGTTCTATTAAAACAGATATACAATCAGATGTTCCCCACAGTTTGAATTGTTGTAACAAGCAACTCTTATTCTAGATTGTCTAAGATCTGAAATCCAATCTGTCCATTCTTGAATTGTCTCTCATGTCCATGTATCCTATTCCATTTTGATCACTGAGTTTTGCAGAATTTGACATTTACTGATCCACTGGGTATCCAAATAAAATGTATTTTATTGTCCCAGGTAATTCTGTAAAGGATACTGTGGTTTCCAGACAGTGGGATATCCACTGTAAAATGTTTTTGTACGTAATGTACGTGAATCTAACACCACCAGCAGCAGAGCAAGCAGTGTTTGCAACAAGGGCTTCTGTGGAAGCGATGCTCTGCCACTGCCACATTGGCCCATGCTGAGGGTGGCTGATCTGTGATTGGCTGCTTTATAAAGGAGGGCTTGGTCTCCAGCGGTGCTTTCTGGCTGTAGGTTCGCTGGTTTTCCACTTCAGCTTTAACACCCAGAAAAGCTGCCAGGTCTAGGTCTAGACCAGTGGCGCCCCCGCGAGGTAGAGGAGTGTTCTGCCGGCACTGTGGACAGGGGATCCACATCTAGGGGAAAAAGCAAGTCGGTTACAAACATCTGACCCTGCTCAGCTGAGGCGTGTGAAACTATCAACTATGAAAATTCAAATCACATGTTTATATACATCTTTATTCAATACAGATTGTTTCAAAACAATTTCACTGTAATAAACGAAAATAACAATGTTGCAAACTAATACAATTTAATTTTAGATTTATAGCAGTTCTGAAAAGATAATATTGTCATTTTCAGCTTAATTTAGTTTAGCAACAACAGTTTCATTGTTGCAATACATGTTCATTAGTTATGAATCAAAATCAGTTTAATTATACAGCAGCTCTACATAAGATCATTATTCAGCTCATGTCATTTCAGTGTTGATTTAGTTTAGTTCAATAATAGAGCAAAGTTCATTAAGTTACAAAACGAGCTTAATTTAGTTCCATTTTTAACCCAAGATTTCGCTTGATTAATCAATTCATTAAATATCTAATAATTAAAGTCAAGACACTACAGGTGAAATGGGTAAAAATAATAGCTTCCCCAGATGACTGATTATGTCACATGTCAGTTGTCTAATGATGTAATGTTTAAATATGCAAATGAGGCATTGCTTAATTAAGCTATTTGCATATATTCCCTGAACAGAAATCTGAAAATTCTGGCAGAAGCCATAAAAAAACACATTTTAATGTTCATAGGAAGAAAATGTTTAATATACATCAGATCAGGTGAATGATATATGAACAAACCCTCTTTTTTTTCTGCAAAAATAGTGATGCCCTGCGTCCCAATGAGCATACTATCCACCCTATCTGCCCTAAATAGTATTGAAAATGACTAATATCACATAGAATTTAGGATGGATAGTGCGCACACATTGGGACGCAGGCTTGGTTTTCAAACATGTTTATCAGGCTTCTCCATTGGTTCAGACAGGTAGTCCCGCCCTCAATCTCATGCCATTGGTTGATTACAAAAAGTCAACGCCCCTGAACAAAGAATGTCTGGTTGCAGCATTTTTGTTTTGCGTTCCCTTCTCTAAACAAAATAGCCTATATCTTAAAGGGCTGTGGTACAACTCTTTTAAGTTATGGAAGATGACAGCTTTTTGCAAAAATGCCCCTAAGAACATAAGTCATTTATTTAGGTAATGTCATAAAAATATATATTTTTTTAATTGTAACAATAAGAGGATAGGATTTCTGTTAATTTAGCAGACACTGTTGTGATGTTAACAAAAATCTAGTATTTGTAGTTAATATAACTGCTCATTATTATATTCATAAAGTTAAATGGAATGAAAAGGTGCTGATTTTTTAACAATTTAACATTTGGGAAAAAAATGATTTGGAAGCGATATCTGAAAGTAAAAACTTTCTAATCTCTTCAGGAAGTCAGGCGGCAATTGAACTTTTTAAAGTTAAAATAGGTGGATTTTTTTTTTGTTTTTTTTTTTTACATTGCAGTGATATAGGTTATCTGACTCCAATTTGTTAAAGCTAGAAGATTATTAGCAGTTTTTATCATGCAAACCACAATCTGGGTGAACATTGCTGTATTTGCACTTTGAAATAAACAGGTCAAGCAAAAATAGTGATATTAGTGATGATAGCTTGAATCCCACCTGCTCATTGATGAGGGTGTCCAGCCGCTTCAGACAGGCCTGGCAAAACGTGTGACCACAGTAGAGTTTGCGGGGGAGTCTCTCTCCCCGATTATACGCACTGTAGCAGATGATGCAGTCCAGTTTGAGGCTGTCTCTGGAGTTTTGTGCTCCAGCCTCCACGTCCCCTTCCACAGGAGCCTCAGACACAGGCCCATCCTCATCCGAGACCCTACAGAATGAGCTCAATATAATACAAACATCTCCGTGTGTTTGCCTGAGATGTTCAGTGCTGACTTTCTAATGGTTGATTATTTGTGCCCAACATAACTGACCTAAAATGTTCAGTACAGAGCCAGCAATAAAAATGTATTTGAACGATTACACTTATATAATGTTGCTGAAAATATCAAAGCAACTTCAAACAACCACTAAAAATGACTTTGAAACCAGCTGGTTAAAATTGCAAAAATGCCACAAAAGCTAAAACTAATTATTTACATTTTCCCCACAATATTTTACTCTTCCAGATACACAAGGTCAGCCCTTAAAGGGATAGTTCACCCAAAAATGAAAATGTGAGGTTTATCTGCTTATCCCCAGGGCATCCAAGATGTAGGTGACTTTGTTTCTTCAGTAGAACACAAACGAAGATTTTTAACTCAAACCGTTGCAGTCTGTCAGTCATATAATGGAAGTGAAATGGGAAGTCTGCGATCCGCCGTAAAGCAAGAAGAAGAAGACGACGACGAGTCACGTGCCAGCTGTTGAGAACGCGCTCAGGACAGTTCGGACATTGCGGTGAATCAGAGGTAAAAAAACGATATAAATACTGTTCAGTTTCTTGCACAGACCGATCGTTTCTTGTCTTTACACATCAATGTATCGTCACAAGCCGCAGGGTTTAATTTGGTTTTGTTTGAGTATGTTTTTTTGATTCTCAAAGCCGTGATTCCCATTCACTTCCATTATAAGACTGACAGACTGCAACGGTTTGTGTTAAAAATCTTCGTTTGTGTTCTACTGAACACCTACATCTTGGATGTCCTGGGGGTAAGCAGATAACCATCATATTTTCATTTTTGGGTGAACTATCCCTTTAAAGAGTGTGTAAGCCGAGCCGCATGTATCTGTTTACTATTAGTGGCCGGCAGCAATGAAATGTGTATACACAAGATGTAATAGTAAAAGATCTGTATACTGTGGGTTCTCAACCTCTAACAGTGTTCTTTTTATTCCAAACAAACAAACACAAAACATAACCATAAAACATACAATGTGCTCAATCAACTTATGTGAAATATTAGATGGAAAAAGTTTTATTTGCATGATTTGTCAAAGTAATTTCACTCTTTATACTGAGAGCAGGAACCATATGTTTATTTAATAGAATTAATCATTGCAAATATAATAAAATGATATTAAAATTGAATAAGAAACACATACATAATCTTAAGAAGAAATAATAAAATTATTTTAAAATGAATATAAAAGACATTTTTGAGAATAAATGATTTTTTTGTCATTCGTTGCATTTCATTTGAAATAAGCAAAAATTCAAATACGTTTTATTTTAATATCACATAAGCAATTTCCTGTAACTTCAAAAATGAATTTTCCATGCAGAGGGTCTACCTGTCCACTTCATCCTTGTGTCTATTCTGTGTGCCGTCGGTCTCTTGAGGTTCTGCCGTTCCACTTGCAGTTCCATCCATGTTTAATGTACCAAAAGTCCGACTTTTGTCAACATTTTACAGCCGACTGTCTTGGTTTCTCCATGCTTCACATCCTTTGTCAGATAATTTAACACTTGAGTGCACCCTCTGTTGCTTTCCCTGAAGTTGTCCTTGCAGTTCCCAGCAGCACGGGCTCCGTCTTTGTTGCCGTTTGCGGTCTCTCTCTCTCTCTCTCTCTCGCTCTCTCTCTCAACCAACCAACCACAACTGCCTCTCTGAAATGGAGGGCAAACAATGGTGTGCTTCCCCAGAGCCTTTAATATTTAAGTACCGCCTGTCGCTGTGGACCTGTGCCGTTACACACACACAATTGCACGTCTACCCTTTTGAAAAAAGAAAAACCATTGGTGCTTGTGGGAGGAGAGATGCATGTTGTTAAGCAGGTGTTTTAATATTTAGTCCAGAGTTGCACATTTCTGCATCTTCAAAACTCTTGGTATTAACTACTGTTATTTTCTCTTATAGTAATGATTTCATTCGGTCTTGCATATATTAAGGGAAAAGTTCTGAGAAAGTCCAATAGCGAAGGAAAGGGCCACAGACATAATGGTTTCTGAGAAGGTTTGGGTTTAGTTTTGAGGAAAAACATGAAATCAAAGACATCAGACATGCTTAGGGTGCAAGAAAGTAGAATGGGAGGAGGGCGTATCGCTTTACAGTCACAAAACAGGCCTGAAATTCAAGCCTAGTCACCCACAGACAGTCTGTCATCAACGTTTCCCTGACAAATTAGTTCTGAGACCTTCATCACCCCTATATAGCGCAGCTACAGGATGTTTGTATTGGCAGATATCTATTATTATTGACCAGGAGAAAGTGAAGTGGAAGGGGTACAGCTAAATTAGAGTCACATTAGATTTAATGCAGGTAACTGAGATCTGGTGACCCGATGTTGGGGGACTTTAGGGCGGTTTGAGCTGATTACCTGAGATGCCATGAATCACTCCAGAGTCCAGATCATCAGGAAAATGACACAACACAGCTGAGAACTGACACAAAAACACACAGTCCTGAGTCTTGTGACGTCAAAGGCAGCAGACTGGGAAAAACATTACAGTAAACCAGAGAATCCTGAAAGCATGCATCACTGTTTTTACAAATATATAAATCAGCACAACCATTTAATAAGAAATATTTCTTGCACACCAAATCAGCATATTTAGAATGATTTCTGAAGGGTCATGTGACACTGAAGACTGGAGTAATGATGCTTTGCCATCCCAGGAATAGATTTTAAAATATATTAAGCGGTTAAAAAACGGTTACTTTTAATTGTAATAATATTGCACAATATTACTTTCTTTTACTGTATTTTTTATCAAATAAATGGTGAACATAAGAGACTTCTTTCTAAAACTTAAAAAAAACTTCTGAATATGTTGCAAAAATGTTGTCGGCTATTCAGGGCTACTTCTGAATGTTCACCAATATGGAAAGATTTCTTTTTGGCAGCAGAATGGTATGGTTATTGCATACCAACGAACTATCTAAACCCTGACTCATTCGCTTGGCCAATACAATATTCAAGCTCTACTAAAATACACAACAAAACAACAGGTATGAAGGGCCGAGGGCTAGTAGACCCCCAAAAATTTACATTTAGTCATTTAGCAGACACTTTTATCCAAAGAGACTTACAAATGAGGACAATAGAAGCAATCAAAACCAACAAGAGAGCAATAATATCTCAACTCAACTCAATTTTATTTATAAAGCACTTTCAACACCACAAAGTGGAACCAAAGTGCTGTACATAAAAATAAAATATAAACAAGCATAAAACCAGAGACAGAAACCAATAAAAAACATTGCACACGACAGCAACCAAACAAAATGCTACAGAAAACAGGTGAGTTTTTAAGCGCACTTTGAAAGGCACCAAGTGTAGGAGATGATTTAACAGACAGTGGAAGTTCATTCCAAAGCCTGGGAGCTGCAAAAGAGAAAGCCTGATCACCTTTGCATTTTACGCCAGATCGAGGAACCATAAGGTTTAACTGATCATCTGACCGCAGAGACCAGATCTAAGTGCTGTGACAAGTCTCAGGTGGTCTAACACAGTACACATAGCAAGGTATTATTATTTTTAAAATAAATAAATAAAAAGAAAACAAGTAGATTGAATAGAAAAAGAATAGACAATGCTAGTGTTAGACGGGCCATTTAAAAAAAAGAAAAGAAAAGAAAACAAATCAAAAGAATAGAAAAAAGAAGGCTAGTTTTAAGAGGGTAATTTTTTTTATAATAAATAAAAATAAAACAAGTAGATAGAATTAGAAAAAGAAAAATTGTCATCATGTACTCACCATCATGTCGTTCCAATCCTGTATGACTTCCTAATGTGAAAAATATAAAAATAGATTTTTAAGAATGCTGGGAACCAAACAACATTAAAGCCCACTGGCTTCACACACACAGACATATGGGTAAATAATGACAGAATATTAATTTTTGAGTGAACATTTTCATTAATACGATACAATAGTTTGTAATAATGTATGTATAAATATGAATCACAATATTGAATTTTAAAATCGATTACTACATAACAAAAACATTACAAATTAAGTTAGAAGATCTATGTCTGACATCACTGCTGTACAGTGATATACAGTAGCTAATGAATGGTTGTGTAACTTCAGACTGTTACTCTATTGTGTGTTTTATCAATATTGGAATGCTGTTTTGACCAATCATTTGTGGAGGACCTTAAAATCTCTTAAACTAAATCATCTTAAGATAATCAAAAATGATTTGAAATAAGCATTAATATAAAGATTTTTTTCTTTGAAGAAATAGTTGTCACCTTTATTTATATAGTGCTTCGTACAGTACGATGCAGATTGTGTCAAAGCAGCTTTACAGTATTAAACAGGAAAATAGTGTGTCGATAGTGCAAGAGGACAATAGTAAACACTCAATTTTCAGTTAAAGGGTTAGTTCACCCAAAAATGAAAATTAGGCTGTTTTACTCCCCCCCGAGGCATCCTAGGTGTATATGACTTGCTTCTTTCAGACGAATCCAGTCAGAGTTATATTAAAAATTGTCCTGGCTATTCCAAGCTCTATCATTGCAGTCAATGGGTGTTGCAAAGCTTCAGTCCAAAAGAAGTGAAATAAAATGCGCCCATCCATAAAAAAAAAAAAAGTGTCTCACACGGCTCCGGGGGGTGAACAAAGGCCTCCTGTAGCAAATCCATGCGTTTTTGTAATAATAATATCCATATTCAAAACGTAATAATCACTTTAATCTAGCTTGCGCTCACTGTTGTAAACGGAAGCAGTTCCGGGGGAATGACGTATGAGGTCGGCTTTGCGCATGCTCCACTCACAAGTGACGAACGCGGAAGCTCAGGGTAGAGATCAAAACAAAACAATGGTCACTAATTAGAAGTACAAAACGAGGATTTGTAAAGAAGAATGTCGGAGGATTTCGATATAAGCCAAGAGGAAACTGGTTTTCTTTTGCTAAAGTAAGGAAACTTTCCTTCTTTTGCTCCTGTTAACAAACGTTGGGTTTCACGAGACTTACCGGCGCATGCGCAACGCTGAACTCATACGTCATCCGCCCGGAACTGCGGTACAACAGTACAACTGTTGGTGCAAGCTACATTAAAGTGATTATTACGTTTTGAATATGGATATTTTTCTTACAAAAACGCATAAATTCGCTACAGGAGGCCTTTGTTCACCCCCCGAGCCGTGTGAGACACTTTTTTTTATGGATGGGCGATTTTTATTTCACTTCTTTTGGACTGAAGCTCTGCAACACCCGCTGACTGCAATGATAGAGCTTGGAATAGCCAGGACAATTTCCGACTAGATTCGTCTGAAAGAAGAAAGTCATATACACCTAGGATGCCTCTGGGGTGAGTAAAACACAGCCTAATTTTCATTTTTGGGTGAACTAACCTTTTAAAGTCAGTTCATCATTGATTCAGTGATGTCATCGTCCAGCTCAGTTCAGTTCAAATAGTATCTGTGCAATCAAGTTGACCTTGCAAGTCAAATAGAGTGCCTTTGGTCTTAAAAAAATTGGATATATGAGGTATCCTGTTTTTAAAAGAAATCTCCAGAACTAGAAAAGTCATTTAAATAAATCAAATCTTACAGTGAATATATATTTTACTAGTTATTCCAAACTCAAAACTGTTTGATTAGGTAGAAATTGAGTAAAAAAAAAAAAACAATTTGGTAGAAATCCTTATCCAGTAAATCACAACCACTGTGAAAGTCACAGGGCCTTTGAACATTGCTGTAAACAATGGGGGACCTTAAGAGTCAGAGAATCTTACAGTGATGTGCTGCATCCTACACTTTACACCAGCAGATGACAGCACAGAGCAAATCTTCTTGCATTAGGTACACTTGAGCTTCACAGCTGTCAACTGTAACTCACTAAACATTTATATGAATTTTCTTTTGCTTTGCCATCTCTAAATGGTGAAGCTATATTATTAAGCAGTGATATAAGAGAAGGACGGGACGGAATATATTCTTCAGAATAGCAGTTTCGGTTGCTGCAGCGTATTTGTACGTCTCTGATTTCACATGTTGGCAATGTGGATGAAGAAATCCAAGTTCACAATGTCCTTCTGCTGGCACAATGAGGGCAATCAGACGTCACTGGTCCTATCAATTCTCTAGTGTGTGCATGAATCTATGTGTTTGGTGTAGTTTGTCTTTGCATGGGAACTCAGCTTGGTGGATACCACACATATCTTTCCCATGCACTCTTGATCCTTATCTCGCGTGTAGGGTTGTGTTGCGGTAAGAAATGATGACATGCAAATCCCATGACATTGTAAACACAGAAAGAGGTGAGGACCTGCTTTTTAAAACGAGATCTCTTTAGTTTATTTTGACTTGTAGTTGTTCTACTGTTTAAGACTCCGCCTTAACCATCTACCCTAAATATGACGAGACAAAGGAAGACGAGACAAAGTAATTAGAAGCACTCTGAAACTGAATCCAGTGTGCTAACATCGCCACCTAGTCCTCAGAGGCCTTTGGCTACC